AAGATTTTATTTATTTTTTCATGAGAGACACACAGAGAGAGGCAGAGACAGAGGGAGAGGGAGAAGCAGGCTCCCTGCAGGGAGCCCAGTGCAGGACTTGATTCCAGGACCCCAGGATCACAACCTGAGCTGAAGGCAGATACTCAACCACTGAGCCACCCAGGCACCCCACGGGGTGAGGTGTTCTAAAGCCAGATGGTAGTGATGGTTTTACCACTCTGTCATATACTAACCCCCCTGAATTGTACACTTTACACAGGTAAACTGTAAGGTGTTAGGACAAAAGAACCTGGCCTGCCGCTCCAGGGCCTCCTTTATCAAGTCTTGGCCACTTCCTAATGCTTGGTCTTATCTGCAAAATGGGTCAGGAAGATGCGCCTGCCTTTGTGACAGTGGGGACCCGATGAGGTGACAGGCAGGAAATCATTCCTCATTTTAAAGTTTCATTTAAAGTTTCCTCTTCAAATCTCATTTTGTATTTACATTTATTACAGAAGGAAATGTATGCACACTGTGCAAAATTCAAATGGGTACACCTTGAAAAGTCAGTCCCGTTTTTCTGGGGTGATGGAAATGTTCAGTATCTCGGTAGGGGTGGTGATTGCACAGATGTGTACATTTGCCAAAACTCATAAAACCCGACCCGTAAGAACTGTGAATTTCACTGTCAACAAGTAATACATTAAAAAATATTTTATTATTATTTTTTAATTTATTCATTTAAGAGAGAAAGAGAGAGAGAGAGTAGGCACAAGAAGAGGGAGGGGCAGAGGGAGAGGAAGACTCCCTGCTGAGCAGGGAGCCCAACACCAGGCTCCATCCCAGGACCCTGAGATTATGACCTGAGCTGAAGGCAGATGCTTCACCATCTGAGCCACCCAGGTGCCCCCTAAAATATTTTAAAGTAAACCCCTTCTGTCTTTCTTCTCCACCTTCCCTACAGGAGGTATGGTTGTTGTTTCTTGCTCAGTTTGGTCTTTGCACACACCAGCAAAGAAAATATTTTCTTTTATCTCTTTTGTACACAAATGTAAAAAAAAAAAAAAGGTACTTTGTACACTGATCTGTCCCTTCTTTCTTCCCCCTTAAAAACATACCGGGAGGTGGCATCAGGCAGCGGGGCCTCCAAGGGCTGCGCACTCATCTGTATGGATGTGCTGTGATGCAGCTAAGTGCTTCCACCGTCAGCGGGCGTTTGGGATCTTTCCGATCCGCTGCTATTACAAAGAGTGCTTCGGTGAATAACCTTGTGCACAAAATTATATCATTTTTCACAATTGTGAGCAGTATCTGGAGGACAGATTCCTGGAAGTAAGTGCTGGGCCAGAGGGTATGTGTATTTGGAATTTTGACATTGCTTCAGAGGTTCCAAGAGTGTCTGCTTCCCCACACTGTTGCAACAGGGCGAGTTATTTAAACTAATTTTTGCTCTGGCCATGTGATGAGTGAAAAATCTCTCAGAGTAGTTTTAATTTGCATTTCTGCCACTAAGTGTGAGACTGGGCCTTTTTTTTTTTCTTGTATGTTTAAGCATTTTTAAAATTTCCTTTTCTGTTCATAACCTCTGACCAGTTTTTCCCCTCTGGGGTGTTTTTCTTATTGATTTGTAAGAGCTCTTTATATATGGGGACATTGGCTCTTTGCTTGGGATATGAGTGGGACATCTTGTTTCTTTTATAAGTTCTATGGATGTTTGTTGTTACTGTGAAACTCTGGGCACAGGAAGAGATTGTCACTATTTTTCTCTGAGTATCATTTCTCAGGATAGGTGTGGGGAGAATTCTTGTCCGTATGAACCCCAAACATTTGTGTCTCTGCCCCGCTTTCACACTCATGGTTGGGTAACTGATTGGCCACCTGGGTCATTTGCTTCCAGCCAGGCCATCCAGAGGACAGAAGATCCAATCGCAGGGGTGCACAGACCCGTGGCAAGTCCTCTTTTATTCTGAAAACATGCTTGGTCACCCTCTCTGTGCTGGTCCAGTGTGTGGCACAGGGACTCATAGGTGAGTCCGGCTGTCCTGCTCCCTGAGCTAGCAGCTCACAGTCTGGTGGAAGATCCAGCACAGCGACTGCTTGGCAGGGGAACCCCTGGGGCAGCCAGGGGCATAGGCACCAATGGAGGCACTAAGAACTGGGGGAGGTGGCAGCCCCAGAGCTCCAGGGGCCTCCTTGCTCAGCTAGCCTCTCCCCAAAGGGCACAGAGGTGGGTCCTCAGAGGGTAGTTGGTTGGTTTTTAACAAAAGCAAGAATCTTGTTGACCCAGTTCCCCCTGAGTCCTGGTCTCCCTGGCAAATGGGAGCGGTTAACCATATTCACTTGTAGGGTGACTTAGGGGCCAATTGAATTGAAGCAAGCAGCAAGCACAGGCTTGGCACACGGGGGTGAATTTTACATTCCACACGGGTGTGCCAGCTTGTGTGAGGGTGGGGGGTTTGGTTTGGGGGACACGGAGCAGGATGCCCTTGCTCTGGGCTGCAGCAGCAGCAGCAGCGGAAGCTGGGGTGCTCCCAATCCAGCTGTCCTCCTAGCTCTGGGATGGGGGTGGGGGCACTGGCAGAGTGAGATTAAGGCTGTGCAGAGATGTGTGGTGTGTGGGTGTGCTGTGTGTGTCTACAACAGAGGCCATGGGGGGGCTTCCAGGAGCAGAGGAGTGTCTGAGAGAGAAGACAGACAAGCCAAGGGAGGGCGGGCTCCAGCTTTATTTAGCCCAAAGAAAGATGCCACTCTCTCAGATCTCCTCGCTGGGTCTGCCCTGGGGTCCCCCATTTCCAGCTCAAGGGGTCTCTGGCCTTTGGGGTGGGGGGCAGCAGCCCAACTCTGCCTTCTCAGACAAAAGAGGGCGTCTTTCAATATCTCAGGGAGCTGGAGAGGGAGTCAGGGGGTGAAGCAGGAGAGCTTCCCTCCGGTAGGAGGGCAGCTCCGGGGGAATGGGGTCAGGGACATTCAAGGCCCTACGTCCTGGGGAGAGAGGTCCTGGGAAAGGAGCTACAAGGGGGCAATGCACCCCCATTAGGGACCTAGGCGAGAGTGACCCCAAGGGCAGCCCCCGCCCCCACCTCCCGTTCCCAGGAGGTCTGGGTGCCCTGTGCATGGACTCAAGGACAGCCCCAGATAGCGGTTCCGTCCTTGACCGTCATTCTCTGGTCCAAGAGTCCAGGGGAAAGGTGGTGGTAACTCCACCACCATCCCCCTTTGGGGTATCGGTCCTTGGGTAGCCATCAGGAATATCGAATTTGGTGGAGGCCCCGGGGGTGGGGCGGGAGGGGCGTGGAGGTGGAGTTTATGGGCCGCGGAGAGGCCGCCGGACCGGACCCCGGACCGAGCCCCGTGCCCATCTCCCGCCGGCACATCCTTCGGCCCGGCTGCTGGGAGCCTCACGCGCCACTCGCCCCCGGCCGCGGGCCTCCCCGGGGAGGGAAGGGCACCCGGGGAAACCCCTCGCCCTCCAGCAGCCCCCTCCCCTTGGCTGCGCGCGCTCTCCCGGGCGTGCAGTCGGGCCCGGCCGCCCCCGCCTCCCTTCGCCGGCCAGGACAGGACCGCGAGCCCGGGCGCGGCGCAGGCGGCGGGGTCCGGGGGGTCGTCCGCGCGCCCGCCGGGACCCTCTCCGCAGCCCCAACGCGGCGGCCCGGGAACCGCGCGCAGGCCGTGCCGGGCGGGGGCGCTCTTGAGCCTGGTTTGGGATTTTACCCACCGCGCAAGCCGCAAGCTGGGGCAAGGGCGGGGGGCGGGGGGCACCGCCGGCGGCCGCTGGGTGAGGCTCAGGGTCTGGGGGCTGCGGATGTAGAACCCGGTTTGGGGTTTGGAGGCCAGCCGAGTGACCAGATCCCCGGGTGTTCCGGAGGCGAATGAAGGGGAAGGGGGATCGGTGGGGCGGGCGGGCGGGGGTGGGGGGGTAGGTCCGCCCAACCAAACCTCCCCGGAATCCGGAGGGGCTGTCCCGCGCGCCCGCCCTCTCCGCCGCCGAAGGGGCGACCGCGGGGGGACAAGTTCCCGACGGCCCGACCACCCACCCTCCCGCCCGCCGCCCACGTGCCCAGCCCTCCTCGTCCCCGGGTACGCGCCCCTGCGGGCTGTGCATTTGCACTCGCGGACGCGCGCGCCCACACGGGGTCTGACTTCAGGTCAACTTCCACGCGGCTCCCGGTGCGTGTGCGCACGGCCGTGTCCGCACGCGCGTGCACACCGCCGCCCCCGGTGCCCACCTCCCTTCGCCTCGCAAAGTCTCCACTTCTGGACCTGAGGGGCGTCTGCTCCCAACGGCGGCCTGGGCCGGGGCCGGGGCGGGGGGCGGGGGCGGGGGCGGGCCGGGAGGAGGGGGCGCGCGGCCTCCGGGCTCCACTCGCCGCCCCCACGCGCGGACCCGCGCCCCCTCCCGAGGCCCCCTTCTGACACCCGCGGCCCGCGCTCCGGCCGCCCCCGCCCGCGTCCCCCGCCCCTCCTCCCGCCCTCCCCGCTCCGGCTCCTACAGGAAACCTTCGATCACGCTCAGAAAGAATGTGCTACAATCTCGGCGCTGCCGCGGCCGCCGACACCGCGCCCGAGCCGGAGCCGGAGCCGGAGCCGGAGCCCGAGCCGGAGCCGGAGCCCGAGCCGGAGCCGGAGCCCGAGCCCCAGCCCGAGCCCGAGCCCGAGCCCGAGCCCGAGCCCGAGCCCCGGCCCCAGCCCCAGCCCCAGCCCCAGCCCCAGCCCCAGCCCCAGCCCGAGCCCCAGCCGCCGCTGCCCCGCCAGCCCCGCCGGCCCCGCCAGCCCCGCCGGCCCCGGGCTCGCAGCGCGCGGTCCCCGCCGCCGCCCCGCGCTCGCCCCGCGCTTGACGCAGTGAGCGCCGCAGCCCGGCTCCCGTCGGCTCCGCTCCGCTCCCGGTCGCAGGCCGAGCCCAGCCCGGCGGGCCCCGGGAGGGGAGGGCAGGGCGCGAGGGGGAGGAGATCTGTCTGGAGCCAGCGAGCCCCGCGGAGGAAGAGGAGGAGGAAGGAGGGGAAGCCGCCGCCGCCGCCGCCGCCGCCGCCGCCGCTCCGGGGATCTGGGCGCGCGCGCTCCGCTCGCGGGTGACGGTGGCGCCAGCCCCCGGCCCTCACCGGGCCCAGGTAGGAGGGGGACGGCGGGGGAGGGGCTGCGCGGGGCTGCAGGGCGGGGGTCCCCTGTGCCGCAGCAGCGGGGCTGGCGGGTCCCCGCCCCTGGGGGAGGCGGGGAAGATGCTCTCGGGGCGGCGGTGGGGGCGGGCGCGGGGTCCCCGCTGGCGCTTGCGGCCCGAGCCGCCCCAGCCCCCGCGCCCTGTCCTGGGCGCCCGCGCCGGGCCGAGTCCCCCCGCCCGCGTGGCTCCGCTTGCGGCGCGTTGGGTCCGCGGTTTCGGGGCATCCCCCACACACCCCGGGTTCCGAGGCGGGCGCACCCGAAGTTAGCGGTCGCCGAACGCCGGCCGGACAAACTTCCCTCCCCGACGCCGCGGCCCGAAGGCCCGGCACTCCGGACCCCTCGGGCAAGGAGGCGCCTCGGGGACCCCGAAACTTTCCTGAGCGCTGTGAGAGCGGAGGGTGGCTGGACAGGGAGGGGAGACGCGGTGGTCTTGCTTGCGAGGGCATGGTGGTAGCCGCGGCGCCGCGAGTTGGCCCCGGGACTGCCCCCCCAACCTGGAACCCCATCTCCTAGCAGGGCGGGCAGGGGGTGGGCTAGAGGCATCTAGCTCTCGGGCAGCCAGGATGGGGAAGCAGCGCTGCGCCCCGCGCCCCGGAGCCCTTGGAGGGGGTCTTGTAGGACACCCCCCTACTCCCTTCGCCGGGCTCGGCCCGCAGCTGCTGAGCCCGCGGCAAGGACCCGGTTCCTGGCTATTAATAGGCGCCCGTGACCTGAACCTTTCCAGGCCCGAGAAGCTGCGAAGCTGGGCTTGGCTCCGGGTGGGGCGGGACCCCAGGCCCAGCACTGGCTCCCTTCCTGGCTCTCATCGTTCCTATCCTGCCGCTCTTCCCTCCAGCCCCCACTCCCCACTCTCCTCCCAGTCTTTCCATCCCGGCCTGGGGGCGTCACCCCCCCAACTTTTTCTCTTCCTCAACTGCACGGTGTGGCCTGCGGCCGCCCCGTCAGTCGGGGACCTGGGCCAGATTGGCGATGGGAGCACAGTCCCCAACAGAGTCCTCCTCGTTTGGATGGGTGTGGGGTTCCTGGGGCCAGACTGCCAGGGATGAGCGGGGATTTCCTCCCCTCAGCGCCTTTCTCCCAACCTACACAGCGACGCACTATACCTTCGTGCCTCCCCCCCCCGCCCCCGCAGGCCTGTCGCTGCCCCATCTCGGGGTCAGTGGGGAGTGGGGTGGTCACAACGGGCAGCCTCGGGGAGGCGTGGAGGGCAGAAGGGACTCCGGAAGCTCCGGAAAGGATTTTGGGGTGTAGCTACAACTGCATGTGCAGGGAGAAGGTGATGTCCTAGTAGCCTCCCTTCTAGCGGCGCCTTCGCACACCCCGAAGGCCCAGGAGGATTCCACTTCCTCCCCCCACCCCATCCCAACACTCAGATCTGAGCTGGAGTGGACTTGGGGGGCGGGGAATAGGAAACGCTGCTTCCCATCTGCAACGCTCGGCTCCCGAGCAGCTTGGGGGTCCTCTGTCCCCCAGGGCTGGCCGCCGGCCCCGCCCCCTCCGTTAATTCGGGGACCCCAACGCCTTCCAGCGCCCGCGCGCGCCGTGCTCAGCAGTCTCAGAGCTTTGGTGAGCGAGGTGTCGCATCCTTTCCCCCATCCAGGTCTGGGGGTGGGGTAGGGGGCGTGGATCGCAGTCCTGGGTCCCTGACAGATGTCCTCGCGGCGGCGCCGGCGTCTCTGTAACAGATTTAATGACTTACACGCAGACCGCCAATCGGCGCGGCCACGGGGGAGGGGCGACCCAGCCGAGACTCAGGGGACGAGGTCGCAGCCTGAGGGACGGCGCAGCTCTTCTCGGGGTGGGGGGCGCAGTGGCGAGGACCCTGACGTTGGCTGTTGGGCCCCGCCCCCAATCCTCTATGCCCCTAACTGTGGGCTTCACTCTCTGTGCGCTTGCCCCGTACATCCTCGGATTGCGGGGACCTTCCCCCGAGGACCTCTACCCTGCTCCGCACCATCCCCCATTGACCTCTGAGTCCCTAAGCGGAGCCCCGACCCTGGGCAGACACCTGCTTGCCTCAGGGTTGGCCAGTGTGGGTCCAGTGTGGATCAAGGCGAGCTGAGGCCTCTGGCCTCTGCTTGCACACTGCAGAAATGGGCTCATAGTCCTGGCTACACCGGGGTATTGAGAAGGTTGTGATGTAACTCTGGGCAGGCACCTGGCACAGTCCCTGGCACACTGGAGATGTGCATCAAAAGCCTAACCTACCTGATCCTTCCAGAGCTGGAATTCCTTGGACAGCATGGGTCTGGGGGTACCAGTCAGAGAGGAAGGGGGTGGGTCGCCACTAGCAGGGGAGGAAGGGCTAGGAAGGGCTTCCCAGGGGTCTCCCGTCACTGCTGTGCGGTTTCAGTGCAGAATGAGGCCAGAGGCTGGAAGATTGCTTTCTGGGACCTACTAAGAGTGACCGGTTTTGCCCCCTTTCCAAGCTGCAGCTGGAAGGCCTCGTGAACAGCAGGGAGGAATGGGGAGACTTGACACCAGCCTCTCTGTCCCCTGTGCCCAGGCCTGGCATATGTGAGGCTTGCAGTACCTATTTGGTAGTACACAGGGGCCTGCCCTTGGGCTGCACCTGCTGAGACAGGGGTGTGGGTAGGGGGCAGCCCAAGGAGAAAGGCTACATACAGCTCAGACGCCCTAAATGGCCCAACAACCTCCTTGCCGAGCCTTAGCCCTGACTCTGGAGCCATATGTGTCTGGGCCATACTTCCCCCCCACCCCAGCTCTTGAAATAGCCATGGGGGCACACTGGCTCTTGTCCTAGTACCCCCTTTAGGGCTCTGCATCCACCCTCAACGGAGCTAGGGCAGGCAGGCAGGAGGTGCCACAAAGCACCAAATCCCTAAATTCTGGCCTGGCAGGGGGAGGGCAGCTCTGAACCCACTCCCCCCTTCCTGGTCAGCCTTCTGTGCCAGGCAGGGCTGGGGTGGGGGGTGCTTGCCAGTCCATATAGGACTTGTGCTGTGGACATTCATTCACATTCCCTCTCCGGTCCCCACACACTATAGGATTTATCTTGATTTGCTGCCTTTGAATTGAGTCAACTCTTTTGTATGCTCGGTGAATTGCCCAGCTGCTGGCGGGGAGCGGAGAGCGTGCCGGGGGTACTGAGGCCGGGAATCTTAGGCGGGCGGGGGACAGGAAGCTGGGAGGGGGTGTGGGCAGCGGCAGGGAACCGAGCAAGGGGCCGGAGCTGGCAGCCCGGCTGGCCGAGGGGCGTGCCCAGGCCTGCCGGCTGGAGAGAAGACTCCGGAGCGCTGGGGAGGCTCCGTCCTGGGGGTCGAGGCTGCCCCTCGGCCTCTGGTTTGGATGCGCTGTGCAGTGTGGGGCGAACATCAGGGCCTCTCCTGACTCAGTTTCCTCTCCTGTAATATGCGGGAAGAGGGGCTTCCACACGCAGGTTGTGAGGGTCCAACTAAACGGGAAGAGTGTGCGAGAACCCCGATGTCATCCCAGAGGTGGGGGTGAGTGACGGAAGGAAGGGGAGCCAGGGCTGGGGAGAGGGGGGCGGCCCTACCCTACCTGTCCTCTGTCCCCCCTCGTTCGGTCCTTGCCCCCGGGTCGTCCTCTCCGACGAGGGCCGGACCGGCGGGCCCACCCAGGGCCCAGAACGCCCTGGCTTGGCCTCAGGTGGTGGGGGTCGTGAGTGGCTCAGGCCGGCCTAGCGGGCTCGCGCTCCCCCTCCCGGAGCGCGCCCCCCCCCGCCCCCCTTGGATGCGGGAGGAAAGGCAGGAGCCGACGGTCAGGACACTAGTCCTCCAGCGCTCTCTAGCCCCCCGCCCCCCGCCCTGCCCCCTTCCCCCGCACCCCTTCTCCCCCCCCCCCCCCCGCCCCGCGGCCGGGAGGGAGGGAGAGGAGCGCGGCGGGCGCGGGCTCGGAGCCGGACTCGCGCGGGGAGCGGGCGGGCGGGCGCGGGCGGGGCGGGGGGAGGCGCGGGGCGGGGCGGCGCGCGGATCGATGGGCGAAGCTGGGGAGGCATCTCAATCCCCCGAGCGAAGTTAGAGCCAGGAGGACCGCGGCGGCGGCGGGCGCAGCCCGGGAGCGCGGCTCGGCGGCAGGTAAGCGCGGCGCCCGGGAGCCCGAGGCCGAGCGCGGCTGGCGCCCAGCCTGGGGACGCGGGACCCCGCGGGGCCTCGCGCGCTCCCCCTGCGCCCCCGGCCCCGTGCGCCCTCGGGGCGCGGCGGCCAAAGTTGGAGGAACTTGGCGCCGGCGCGCGGCTCAGCGGGCGGAGCAGGGGTCCGGGCCGGGGTCCTGCAGCCCCCGGGTCGCTGCTGCCCGTCGCAGCACCGCTCGCTCGCGTGGCCCTGCTCCGTCCCCAGTCGTCTGTCCCCTCGGCAGCCCCCTGCGCCAGGTCGTGCGTCCCGCTAGCTGCGGCCGACTCTCCGCGGCCTTGGGTCGGCGACCCCCGGCGGTGTCCGCGGCACGGACCCCGCCCCGTCTGCCCTCCCGGCGTCGCGCATCCCCACTCGCACCGGGACGCTCCGGCGACACTCGGGGGAGGGGCCGCATTCCGCGGTAGCTGGCGGGGAGGTGAAGCCCTGGCGTGGGGGTGGGGGCCTTTGCTCGGAACTTGGTGGCTATCTCAACCCCTCCCCCGATCTTGGACCGCTCTCCTCCTCACGGCTTTTTGGGGAGTGCTGCTGAGCCTCCTTGCCCGGATCTGCCTCAAAAGACAGGAGCCCGCTTTCCATCCTTTAAAATTCTCACCATTTGCTTGCAGCCAGGGTGGGGTCCCCTGCAGGTGTTCCCCCCTCCGACGCAGACCGACAGCCTCTGGCATCAAAATCAGACTCTTCCAAGCATCAGCTGCGTGACCTTGGGGCAGGTAACCTCCCTGAGCCTCACTTTTCACATCTGTAAAATGGGGGCGTGACAATAATGTCTACTTTATGGAGGAAACACCACCAGGAAGGCTTAGCCCTGGGAGGGCTCCTCAAGGCCTTTCCTGTGA